CACAGTTTCCCAGCACCTGCACCTGCCTGCTCAGTGAGGGTGAGGGCTGGCACCTTCCTAGTTCCTGATACCCTGCAGAATGACACCAGACAGCAGGGTTGATGAGGACTGAGAGCATGCTGGGTGTAAGCATGTAAGTGAATTTGGGAGGATGAGTAAGTAGGTAAGAAAGGTCACCTTCTCTGAAGATTTGGGATGAGGATGAAGGTGGGGCAGGAGAAATCAGGAAAAGAAGGATGACTTATTTCTTTTCTTTTAAAAATGTATTTTTATTGACTTCAGAGAGGAAGAAAGAGGAAGAGAGAGATAGAAACATCAATGATGAGAGAGAATCACTGACCAGCTGTCTCCTGCACACTCCACACTGGGGACTGAGCTCGCAACCTGGCATGTGCCCTGACCGGGAATTGAACCGTGACCCCCTGGTTCATAGGTCAAAGTTCAACCACTGAGCCATGCTGGCCAGGCTTTTCTTTTCTTTCTTTCTTTTTAAATATATTTTATTGATTTTTTACAGAGAGGAAGGGAGAGGGATAGAGAGTTAGAAACATCGCTGAGAGAGAAACATCAATCAGCTGCCTCCTGCACACCCCCTACTGGGGATGTGCCTGCAACCAAGGTACATGCCCTTGACCGGAATGGAACCTCGGACCCTTCAGTTCACAGGCCGATGCTCTATCCACTGAGCCAAACCGGTTAGGGCCAGGCTTTTCTTTTTTAAAAAATATGCTTTTATTGATTTTAGAGCCTGCGAGCCAGGCATGTGCCCAGACGGTGAAATGAACCAGCAATGCTTAACCAACTGAGCCACACCAGCCAGGGTGGCCGACTTCTTTCTTTATCCTGAACAGAGGACTTCGCTGCCAAAGAGCCAGGGTAGGGTTCAAGGGTGGCCAGGGTTCATTCACTTATCCAACAGATAAGCACCCACCTGGCAGCTAGTTATATGTGTTAGGGATACGGAGGAGGCAGTGCCTCGCTTCTCACTTCTGCCTCTGGGCATTTCCTCACACCATTCCCTCTGCCTGGCCGCTCCCCCTCCT